ACTCTATTCATTTTTAGATGGCAGCTGTTGCAAGGTTAAGAGTTAGGACCCCAGGCAAGGCCTCTGCCTGTGTTTGGAGGTAACTGGAGCTGCAATTGCTGTTGAGTTGTTCTGTTTTTAAAGCTAGAGGTTCAGGTCCTGAAAGGAGCATACAAGATGTAAAGTTTAGACTTCACTGGTTGTTAGGTCAGTGACTGACCTTTAAAATCCCAAAGGGATTTTAAGCTATTTGAAATGCTGATGGCATCACTTACAATGAATGCTGCTTCTTGATGTTAAAAGTTAGTTTCCCACAGAATCAGCTGGTCCCCGGAGCACTGGTCCTAACTTCCTGTTTTTAGAGTGACTCCTTTCTCGAGCAGAGTGCTATGGAGTCACCCTTGTGTGTGCTAGTAAGCTGTGTGTGTCTCCACAAACAACAAATCAAGCTACTTCCCTGGCTCCCCTCTCCAGGATAGTAGATGAACATTTAGAGATGTACTTTGGGAAAGCTTGATATAGTAGCAGGTTTTTAGTCACCAAGCTCACAGGTAATGCCTACTGGATGAGCTTCCTTGGCCTAAGCTTCTGTATGAGTACATAATGTGTATAAGCAGTATACAACTACTGTATCTATGTGTACAACTATGTGTCAAGGATTTGAGTTGTTGGAGCAAGTGATTTGATAAACTATCGTGGTGAAAGCAGCCGCATCAGATCATCTCTTAAACAGGGGTAGACTAACATTGGCCCCGGATTTGTGGTGAAACTACAAATCCCATTGTGCTTCTGCCTCTGGGAGTCATGCCTGTGGCTGCCAGTCTTGCACTGCTTTTTGCAATGCCTCGTGGGATTTGTAGTTTCCTCTAAGCTGGAGGGTGAAAGTGTCCTACTCCTGTGCTAAAGGTTTATATTTCTGGATGCTGCACTTGTAATTGGGGATTTTTCTTTTTTACAGCTCACACTTTTTTTTCCCCCCTTCCTCAGGCAGTTTTAGATACAAGGTGAGTTTATGCAGCGTATTGATGTATTACCTGGACCTTTGCTGCGCATTTGCTGGGGAGACATTCACTGTGTGTTACATTCATTGAGAAGTAAAAATATGATGTTGTCTTAAATCTTCTGAGCTGATAACTTCTTGAGCTCTCTGCCTGTGCACAGGAAGGAGTTATGGAGATGAAAAGGTCTGTTTTTTTGTAGTGCATCAAAAATGGAGTAGACAGGGCTGACACCCCATGCTTAGAAATTCAGATCCAAAAACATTGTGTTATGTCAAGTGAAGTTAGGGGCACACTCTTTCTGGCACATCAAGTTATATTTTGTGTACTTGCAGCCCTTTTTGACCACAGGCTGCCATTGATATGTACATCAGTCTGTAAAAGCCACCTGATCACTTCTACTGATGGCAGAACTGACCTCCATTCCCTCCGTCATGGTTCAGCATCTTGAGAACAATGCTCTAAGCACTTCAGGATGCTTGCAGGCTGTATTCCATCTACTAAGACAAGTGCAGGTGAGACTATGGATGTCTCCCATAAAGACAACCTGTCACCTGCACAATACTATCGCATACAAGGATGTGAAAGCAATTCAGTTATTTATTTTTTTATTCATTTTAAAAGAAAAAAATTACTTTTATAAAACATTTTAAAGGCACCACTTCCTTTTACATATGCACATAAAAATAAGCCTACCCAGGATGCACGTACGTATGAAAATGGAGCATGCTCCATTATTTACAGTTTACTCTATAAAGTATGCATAAAATTATAGTATATTGCTGTTTAGTATCTATTAACTCAACACAGTCTCCACTTTTATATTGTACAAAGAAAGGGGTATTGTGTATTTGCATGCACTAAAATTGATTTTAATGTATTTTTTTAAAGCAATTCTCGGTTTGATAAGTGGCTGTGCAATTATTATTTTGTGACCTAAGAATTTGTGACTATTTTGCAGGTTCTTTGCTTTCAGAAAATATCTACAATATTGTGGGGGGTTAGAAGTCATTTATAGGCCATAAATGTGCAATTTT